GTTACTGGATTTTCTGTCATAAACTCTTCAGGCCCAATCAATTTTGATTAACAGGCTTGCATAAAAAAAAAATCCTAGAGCCTCTTTAAAACACACTCAGAAACCATAAGCATGGCCATTATTGCCTTTCTCATTATTTTGGCTGGATTAAATAAATGGTGTATGTGTTAGCAGGCTATAGAACCCCATTACATTACAACCCTCGGTGCTAATTAATTAGCATGTACGTGGGAGAATTTGTTTGTCAAGGCACAATGGGTGTGCAGGTTTTTTCCGCTCCTGGGTCACATATGCATCATTTGCTCTAGTGCTTATTTTCAAAGAGCAGTGTCTTTTTTGCCTCTGGCTGATTATAAAGTATCCATATAAAACGCACCAGCGCTGAAGCTCCAGGAAGTTCATCGCAGAGAAACGTGAGGGAAGCTCATGAAAGACGAGTGTAATATCCCAGCAGACTCTGAGCCCCGAGTTCCTTGCTTCACACTAATAAATTGTGAATAATTTTTCCTGAAACCGAGCTTGTTCAGCGAGCAGCCTAAAACTCATTTCAAATCTTCGTTTATAAGTGCCTAGCTCACAAATTTCACAAGTTTCCTTTACGAAATTGCATTTCCGTCATCACAGTTCAAGTGATTGGGCTGTCTGAGGCTTGTAGTTGTGACGTCTGTACACTCTCACACTCTCCGAGAAGCTTTCCTATCCAATTTGTTTTATCTAATAGCTGATGTTTTTGCTGTGTAGTATTCAGAACTTGATTTATTTATTGAAATCTTTACCATACTTTAACTGATGTATTTTTAATTCTGCTCAAATGACTCGTGCCCAGATAATTGAGCGACTGGGAAATAAGTGTGTCATCAGACTGACAGACAGCGGTGTTCAAATGCTAATATGGGACATTTATTGAAGTATCATTTGTGTCAGTGGCATTTAATTAAGTGCACTTAACATAAATCTGCTATTAAGTGTTTTTGCAAGCTTAAAAATATTCAGAATACATTATGAATGCATTTTATTAAAAACGTTGTGCTCATGGTGTATTGATATTTAAAATATTTCTTTAAGCATGTATTGACACCAAAACTGGAGCGCATGTAGGATTTCCCTATTCTCACTTGAATAAAACATTAATTTGAATCAAAACCGAATCATTTATGTGTGTGAGTTTTAATCCTCTTTTTAATGATAGGAGGCCATAACCTTGCTATCAGCTTGAAATGGCATTCATTTCTTATTTTTATTCATTTAACTTGAGATCAAAAAATTCAACTATTTATCATTTAAAACATGCTTTATCTAAGAGAATGGTTAAAATGTTTAGACTACTTGATTGATAAATATTTGAAGGCAACATGTTTTAATTCAGGTAGTATATAGTTAAATTTTTAGTGAGTTCAGCTGCATGCTTTAATATCTAAAATTTTACTACTTTGACAATTTTACAGTGCAAATTAGAAATTGCTAACTAATGGTAAAGTACAGTATTAAATGAATGCCGTGTTAAATTTTGGAAGCTTGTTTGCACCACTAAATAAAAATAAATAAAGGTAATTTACTTTTTATTTGATCTTACAATTCTGAACTTTTTCTCAGAATTATGAGATATAAACTTGCAAAAATTATGAGAGAATAGTCTTTTTTTTCCCCCAAAAAATAACTTTGTCGCGCTATTCTGACTTTATAACATGCATTTGCAAGTTTATATTGTGCAATTTTAAGAAAAAATTCAGAATTGTGAGTTTATGTATCGCAATTTCATTGTTATTTAATGTTAATATCTTGCAATTCTAAGAAAAAAAAGGGAGAATTGTGAGATTAAGGTATTGCAATTACCTTTTTAATTTTTTTTTTTTTTTTATTCAGTGGCAGAAATGGGCTTCCACAGTAATATGACCTTTGGTTCAGGTGGAAAAAAATAAAGTCCAGTTGTCCTTTTATATTAGAATGGAACTTCTCATATCTGCACTACATGGCATTTTAAAACATCCAAAGAGTTGTGAAGCGATAGTAAATTGCTTCTTGCTGCATAATTCATTCGTAATGCTGAATAGTGTGTGGGCTTTTCAGGAATCCCCTGTCCTCTAGTTCAGTCTTTTCCTTCAACACGCCTATGCAGAGTATTACAATACGCAGAATAATTATTCCTGCTGCCAACAGATATACCATCAACACACACGCGTGCAGATTAGCCCACTATATTGAATGCTCATCGGGATGGTGTGAAGCTGTGAACACAACTTTTTTACTTTGCTCTGCTCTGCTTATAAAGAGGCTTTTTTGTGGTTATGTAGGCCAGTGTTGTGGGTTTGTGTTATATTAAAGCCAGCACATTAATTATGCTCTACTTTTACCTCTGTTTTGTGTTGTAGCCAATTGGAGTTGAAGAGTAAAATCCCGTGTCAGGCATGCAAATTGCTGATTAAAACCACATTATAAGGAAATGCACAGAGACATCAATTATCTGCTGTATTAAATATAGCCATTATTAATGTTCCTCAGAAAGGGTCATAGATACTGCACAAATTAGCCCTAATGTCTATTAAAGTTTGGAGGGATTGCTCATTTGCGTTATGTCATAAATTAGAAGCATATTGAAGTAGCAGTCTTATGATCCAAATAAACTCATCACTCATCTGTTGATAATCGATGCAATGTGTCGTACAATCCCTCATTCTGACCGCATTTCATTGCTGTATGTGTCACGCTTTCTGGCAGGTCATTTATATAAAAGTTGTCAATGACAAGTAATGCTACTTTTTGTTATTAACACAAAAAATGTTTCTGCCGAACAGAACAAGCAGTTTAATTGCATGCTGTCAGTGTTTACCAGCCTCCAGTTTCCTCTCCGGCTAAAAATAAATTGTTGTAAGAATTATTCAAGAAAGTTGGCTGTTGAAAAACCTCCAGTCTTATTACCTGAAGCACTTCAGGAGAGCATGTTGGAATTTCTTTTAGATACCTTTCCCGTAGTGGACGATGAAATGCTTGGAAAAACTTTCCCTGGCAATATTTACAGTCCAGAATATCAGAGAGATTTGCATAGCAATGCATTAAACTGCACAGCAAAACCCTGGCAACCAACCTAATACCACATCGCTGGCAAACACTGCGGTTTTCCCACATTTGCAAGTTTCTGGTTTTATATTTAGCACACCTAAGAAGGTTGCCTGTGGTGTCTTGATGATGTCTTTGTGCCGCTCTCAGTGCTGGGTAGTAACTGATTACATGTAATCTGGATTATGTAATCAGATTCCAAAATGTAAGTATTTGTAATAAGATTACAGTCAGGTCCATATATATTTGGACACTGTCGCAATTTTCATCATTTTGGCTTTGTATGCCACCGGAATAGAATTAGAATGAAACAATCAAGATGAAATTGAAGTGCGGACTTTAAGATTTAATTCAAGGGGTTGAACAAAAATATAACAAACTAAGGAATTACAACCATTTTTATACACAGGCCCCCCATTTTTAGGGGCTCATATGTAATTAGACAAATAAATCTAATCATAAATAAAATGTAAATTTTTTTTTTAATATATATATCTTGTTGAGAATCCTTTGCAGGCAATGACTGTCTTAAGTCTGGAACTCATGGACATCAGCAGAGACTGGGTTTCTTCTTTGTGATGCTTTGCCAGGCCTTTGCTGCTGACTTCAGTTGTTTGTTTGTGGGTCTTTCTGCCTTTTAGTTTTGTCTTCAGCGAGTGAAATGCAGCTCAATCGGGTTGAGATCAGGAGATTGACTTGGCCATTGCAGAATATTCCACTTTTTTACCTTCAAAAACTCCTGGGTTCTTCAGCAGTATGTTTTGGGTCATCGTCCATTTGTACTATGAAGCGCCGCCCAATCAGCTTTGCTTCATTTGACTGAATCTGGACAAAGAGTATATCTCTTTACACTTCAGAGTTGGTCCAGCTACTTCTGTTTGCAGAATATTCCACTTTTTTACCTTCAAAAACTCCTGGGTTCTTCAGCAGTATGTTTTGGGTCATCGTCCATTTGTACTATGAAGCGCCGCCCAATCAGCTTTGCTTCATTTGACTGAATCTGGACAAAGAGTATATCTCTTTACACTTCAGAGTTGGTCCAGCTACTTCTGTCTTCTGTCTCATCATCACTAAACACCAGTAACCCAGTGCCACTGGAAGCCATGCACGCTCATGCATCACACTGCTCCATGTTTCACAGATGATGTTGTGTGCTTTGGATCATGAGCTGCTCCAAGCCTTCTCCCGATTGTTTTTGTTCCCGTCATTCTGGTACAGGTTGATCTTAATTTCAGCCGTCCAAAGAATGCTTTTCAAGTGGTCTGGCTTTTTTAGATGTTTTTTTTTGGCAAAGTCTAATCTGGCCTTGTTTGCAGCTTGTGGTGAACTCTCTGTATTTGCTCTGGTGAAGTCTTCTCTTGATTGTAGACTTTGACAGAGACACGTCTGCCTCCTGGAGAGTGTTCTTCTCTTGGCTGGATGTTGTGAATGGGTTTTTCTTTACCATGGAGAGGATTCTCCGATCATCCACCACTGTCATCCTCTGTGGATGTCCAGGCCTTTTTATGTTTCTGAGCTCACCAGTGTGGTCTCTTTTTCTCCGAATCTACCAAACTGTTGATTTGGCCACTGCAAATGTTCCCAGTGCTATCTCTCTGATGGATTTGTTTTGCTTTTGAAGCCTAACAATTGTCTGTTTCACTTGTGTGGAGAGATCCTTTAACCGCATGTCACACTTAGAATCAACTCCAGGTCTTTTACCTGCTTAATTGATGTAGAAATAATGAAGGGATTAGTGCTGCACGATTAATCGTATCACAATCGCAATCGCGACGTCAACCTGTGCGATTTATAAGAAGGTCAAAATGTGTGGACTTGAGAACACATACTTTCTGAGAACAGTTTTCCGATTTTCTGTGCCGTGTCAGTATAGGCAGTGCACGTGTGGTGCGCGTGGTCAGTGGTCACTTGTGTGCGCAGTGCAGCGAGGAGAGACCAGAACGAAGATGGATGGCGAGGAGATCGACACTGATCTGGTAGCCAAAAAAACCTCTACCTCTGTTATATGGCGATATTTTAAATTTTAGATTACTTGCACTGAGCAGAGAGAGGTACTCTGCAAGATTTGCAAAATTAAAGTTGCTACATCATGTGGCAATACGACAAATTTATATCAGCACCTGAAACAGCACAGAGAAAAATACGATGAATGCATGACAGTGAAAACCCAGATTAGTAAAGAGACAACTGAAGGAAACAAGGCACAAGCTGTTCCCCAAACAAAACAAAGCTCACGCCATATGATGAGTCTTCACCTAGACAAAGAAATCACAGACTCCATAACGCACTGCTTGGCAAAAGACATGATGCCCATACACACCGTTAGTAAAGTGGGATTTCAGAAAATGATTCGTACACTGGACAAGAGGTACCAGCTGTCCTCTCAAAACTATTTCTCAAGTAGCGATCCCTAAACTTTATAACTCGCGCCGAAAGTGGGATTTCAGAAAATGATCCGTACACTGGACAAGAGGTACCAGCTGTCCTCTCAAAACTATTTCTCAAGTAGCGATCCCTAAACTTTATAACTCGCGCCGTGAAGAAGTTCAAAAGGAAATGGCTACGGTGACGTTCTTTTCAACCACTACAGATCTGTGGTCAAGCAGGACAAGTGAACCGTATATTAGCTTGACTGTGCACTGTCGACGAGGAGTTTGAATTGAACAGCATCGTATTTCCCCAATGACCACACAGGAGAGAACATAGCCTTGGGCTTGAGAGAGGCACTGGCTGCATGGGACCTCTGTGAGGAGCGTCAGGTCGCCATCACAACAGACAACGGCACCAACATTGTTAAAGCGGTGTAGCTTAATCAGTGGACTAGAATCCAGTGTTTTGGGCATAGACTTCATTTGGCCATTGGTAAGTTAAATTGATTTAATATTTTGTTATTACACTACAGCAAATATTTTAAACTACTGTACTTTTAAGAGCAATTAACTATGGGGCTAGGAGCAGTTGTACCCTCGATTTATTAATTAAATAATTTTAAATACAATGTAAAATTCTGTGTGCCACAAAAGATACTAGGAGTGGCCTATTTCATTTAGGGCTAATAATTAGCATTAAACATAACTCTGTAAGAGATGGATGAGTGTAAAGAACAAATCTGCCATAGCTATTCGCCTACTACTCCAATATCATTAATTAGGCCTAGAGTGGTGACATGATTTGATAAATTTTAACACTGTGTGCGTGTGTGTTGTCATTTTTGTATTACTGTTTAATGCTACACTCTAAAAAAATGCTGGGTTGTTTCAACCCAACTTTGGGTCAAATATGGACTAACCCAACCGTTGGGTTAAACTTTTACATTCAATTTTTACCCAAAAATTGGGTTAGTCCATATTTGACCCAAAGTTGGGTTGGAACAACCCAGCATTTTTTAGAGTGTATTAATATGAATTGGGCATGTAATCAGAATGTGAATATTAAATGTTTTGCAATGTCACTGTAGTAAGTAAAGGGTTTTCATCTTATCATTCACAGAAAATGCTCTGAAAGATAATGCACAGTGCATTAACAGAGCTACTGGGATATGCAGGAAAATTGTGGGCCACTTCTCCCATAGCTGGAAGAAAAGAGTGGCCTTGAGGGAAGCACAACGAGAGATGAACCTCCCAGAGCATGCCATGGTGACAGACTGCTCAACATGATGGGGTTCCACTCAGAAAATTAGAGTCCTGGAGCAGCAAAGTGCATTGTCCAAGGTTCTCTCTACAGACCGCAAAGTGCGACACCTACTCCCTTCATGGCAGGACCTGGAGGTCTTGGAATCTGTAAACAAGGCACTAAGCCCACTCCAGGACTTTACGGATGCCTTATCGGGTGAACGTTATGTGGGCATATCTTGTGTGAAACCTGCTCTGCATCTTCTGAACACCTCAGTGCTGGCTGAAGACGAAGCAGACACTGACCTGACCAAATCACTGAAATCAAAAATTCTTAGCTACCTCAACAACAAATATGAAGGCATGCAGGACTTGCTAAACTTCACCACTTTCCTAGACGCAAGGTTCCGAACACAATACATCGCTGAAGAAGTGACCCAGACCTTAAAGGAACGAGCCATCTCTGAGTTGATAGTGAGTGAAACCATAGAGTTTACTTAACTGGTAAGAATTAAATGTAACACATTTCTAAAACATGTGCATTGTTTATTTGTTTCAGGAAATTCACCACCAGCCGTCTGTAGCCCAAAGCACTGCAGTGACGGAGAATGATAGCATGGATGTGGAAAGTCCACCTGCTGCTAAAGCCAAGAAGAAAACTCTGGCCAGTTTCTTCAAGGAAACCACATGCACAGCACCAAGAGCATCACTGTCATCCACATTTGATTCCATGGCACAGTTTAGAGAAACCGTGGCCGCTGAACTTGATGCTTACATTTACATGCCATGTGTAGACCATGGAGAAGATCCACTGAAATGGTGGAAGTTCCACAAAGTAAGCTTCCCTAGGCTATGCAAACTAGTACAGAAATATCTGGGCATACAAGCAACAAGCTCTGTATCAGAGAGCGCTTTTAGCACTAGTGGTGATGTTGTGTCGAATCATCGCTCCTCTCTGAAACCAGAGAAAGTGGATATGCTTGTCTTTTGGGCAAAAAACCTCTAATGTGATATGTTTAACTTTTCTGTATCAGAGAGCGCTTTTAGCACTAGTGGTGATGTTGTGTCGAATCATCGCTCCTCTCTGAAACCAGAGAAAGTGGATATGCTTGTCTTTTTGGCAAAAAACCTCTAATGTGATAAGTTTAACTTCTTTGAAAGAGGTTTTGGAAGTACCAGTTGGTCATAAAAAAAAAAAAAAGATTTAGTGTTTTGAGTTTGAGTGAACCACAATTTTATATCCAGTTTCCTTTTCAAAAAGAGTTTATACAGAGTATATGTTACATCCTGCGTAAATGTCCCTGTTTGTTTGGACAAAATATTTTAAATATCTTATTTTTGTGAAAATGTGTATGGCTTTATTTAATTTAGCTATACTTTTGAGAAAATAAGTTTACATTAATGCAAATGTTATTTCATTTTGTAAAAATTGTTTATTTTGAAAATATTTCTAGTTTTACAAATACACATTTTAGCATTATCACTAATCTGTGTGTGCATTTTCCTTAAAAACCCATCAAGTTGACTCATGATACCATTTATTATAATCGCATATCGCAATATTGACCTCAATAACCGCAATATGAAAATTTTCCCAAATCGTGCAGCCCTATTCTAAAGCACATTATATACACATTATTATCATTATTAAATATACATTTCAGTATAAATATCCAAAATTGTAAAACATAGAAGGTTGACATTAACATAAATAGGACTGCACGACTATTAATCAAAATAAAACCAAAATCGTGATATGATTTAGTTAGTGCAATTATCAATAGTGCAATAAATATTAGGACTATAATTGTAATGCACAGTAGGGCTGCAAGATAAATCCCATGCGATATTTAATGTGCATCTTGTTAGTAAAGCCGATTCTGTAATCAGCGGTAAATCTCCATCACGTGCGTGCTTTCACATAGAGTAGCATTTACTATACAGAGCCGTTGGTCACTGACAAGCTGCGCTAAACCATGTTCATATATGATCGTGGTTTAGCGATAATATAATTAATTATAACATTTAGCTACTTGAATCAATTATTTGATCGATCGATCAAGAGAGAGAGAGGTGACAGTTGCGTGTGTGAAATAGTCTACCTGCTCCTGCGCGTCTCTCTACAAAGAACCTGTGAGTTTAGTTCAACAGCGATTTAACCCCCTTGTTGCTGATGAATATAATGTAGCGATTCAGTATCTAAGCTTTTTTATTAATAGTTGAGGGGCAGCGTTTACAAGTTTGTGTTACTTGTGTTGGTTTCAAAAGGCAGCAATAACACTTTAAATAGACCTAATAGATTTATTTAGTAATTGTCTACTCATTTTATAACTAAATAATTATTAATAACTTTTGAATAGCAATCACAATTTTTATAAGACAAATCCAACCCTCTACGCACACCTTGGCAATATAATCACCATTGGCTAGTACATTTTTTTGTTTACTCGCCAGACTGATATACTATTTTACACACACGTTTACTTGGCTATCTAAGTGGGGACATTACATAGACTTCTATTGTTTTTATATACAGATAGTTATACACTTTTTAACCTAAACTCACCCCTACCCCTCACAGAAAACTTTCTGCATTTTTTTAAATTTCAAAAGTAAAAAAAAAACTGCTTTTACTTTATTTTTATAACAGTTTTACAAATGAGGACATCCACAAATTGAGGTTTTTG